ATTCTAACTGTTGTTTATTCTAACTGTTGTTTATTCTAACTGTTGTTAGAGCAGAATAAGTTTGGACTGCAGCTGCCTGGCGTGTGCACGTGACACTTCACACTTGGAGCATCTCACTCCTCAGTGGGTGTTTCCTGAAAACCTCCACTCTGAGACGTGGACTCAGAAACCTCGAGTTTCAGAGAGGATGAACGGCCGAGCCGCAGCCTTTCTGCTGCAGTTTCACTCAAAAAACACGTAAACGGGGCCTGAGTTTGGAAAAATCATTTCATTCAGATCTAAACAGTTAAATCTCATTCGGACTGAGTTGGGAAACTAAAGGTTGGTTCAAACAGGACCAGGTCCAAACGAAACCACTCGAGACTTAAAACTCCAATTTCCTAAACTCCACAGCTGCTTCATAAACATTTACCATCATTTTCTCAACACGTATTTACGTATGTAGGTAGAATTCTGAGGTGATCTGCCAAACTCAATAACAGCCATGTGTGGCTCTTCTGGTGCAGCCTGAAACACTCCCAACAAGTTTTATAAAATATACGCAGTGTACCGCAAACTGGTTGTAAAGCTTTAAAAATGTGTTTGAGTGAAGCGCTTTGAAACGCTGACGCTTGAAGTCGTTTGAGGACGACACCAATGGCTGGTGCCGGACTGGTTCAAGAACATAATTCCAGTGGTATTTTTGCCAATTTTGATCAACTCTAAAAAAAAAGACATGTTACTGCTTAAACCTTTGCACTAGCGTCTGGCTACGATGCGTTAGCCAAACATTTTGGCAGAAACATTATGACGTTCCTGCTGAAAATGACCGGATTGTCCCGAGCTGCCGCTCTTTGAGATTTCCATCCATCCATTGATAAAAGTCACGGTTGTGACGCCTGACATGCACGAGTTTGTGATCTGAATTGATGAGGCATGAGGATTTAGACCAGGGTAGTGTCAATCAAAGATACGAACACGCCCACTCCTTTGAAAAAAAAAGTCTAAAATGTTCAAAATGTGTTTATTTTTGATTTTTTAGTGATTTTGTACGGCCCGTGACATATTTCAGAGTGCTAGACTTTATGGAACGTTTATGAAAGTTTATGGGAGATAGTCTTTATAAATCACGTCTGATATAGACGCAGTGGTTGAGTGGCTGCCTCACAGCAAGAAGGTCGCAGGTTTGCCTCCCAGCCTTTTCAGAAGGAGCTTGCATGTTCTCCACGTTCATGCGTGGGTTTTCTTTCTTCCACAGAACAACGGTGTGCACGAGGTTCATGAGAAATGTTAAACTGAGGGAGTGGACGGACGTTTGTCTCTACGGGTGTTTGTTCATTTTTATTGTAGAAAAAACTTGATTTTAAAGAACTAAGAGTGTTTCCATGAACAGTTGCGGACAGACTCGAGCGTAACCAACACCAAACCTCGCTGTGTCACGTCTAAAATGTCTTGTCCAAAGATCCACGACTCACATCTCAGGAGATCCAGTCCTCCAGCTCTTGTCTCTCACGCTGAAGCTGCCCAGGCTCTCTCTCTTGGGCACCTTGTCCTCCCGTGGGCCCTTGTGCTCCCGACGGGACACGGAGTTTGGAGCTTTCTGCTCCAGCTGACAAAGCTGCTCCATGCTGCTGTAGACCTGCAGGAGGACACCTTCACATCAATAATCATGGTTTTAGAACTGTTGTGTTTTTATGGTTCTTTTATTATTTCTCAAGTTATATTAGTGGGAATCTGTACTTTGTTCTGTTTAGATCCTGTTTCCTGCACTCCCCAGTGTTTGCTTCCTCCTCAGCTCCGGTCTCACCTGTCTCTAATCTTAATCCCCCCAGATGTTCGTCATCAGCGTCCCTATACACTCCGTGTCTCTGTTGCCTCCTTTGTCCGTGCATTGTGCTTCCCAGCCTGTCATGTTCTGCTCCTCCGTCGCTTCCTTTCTCCACGTGTTTTGCTGCCCCGTCAGCTTTTGTCTTGTTTTTGTTAAATAAATATAAAGTGTGTTTTTACTATCAGCTGTGCTGTCATTGCACCGAAGAGGAACTGAGGCCGCCGGCCTCGAGAGGCGCAGCCTTGTTTTCAGATAAGGAAAAAGAAACACGAGGGGGAGTGGAGGTACAAACATAATCTCGCACTGTGTCCTAGACGGGACACAGCGTGAAACATGACCTCAGAGAATATGTGTCAAACTGAAGGCCCGGGGGCCAAATGTGGCCCTCCTTAACTTCTTATCTGGCCCCCAACATGTTATTTTCAATGTAAAATACTTTTGTCACTTTAATTTGTTTCAGTAATCTTTGATTATGATGTCAAAAATGCAACAGAAAACGTCAAATGAGACCAATCAAACTCTTGTTGAGGAACCTGCAACCAAGGAAAGATGTTGGTTTCTAACTTGAGTTAATGATGATCCTGAAACTGGCCCTTAGTTTGAAAAAAGGTTTTAATTTTGGCCCCTTTTGTAAGTGGGTTTGACGCCCCCGCCTCATGAAACAGCAACATACTGATGACATCATCATACATTTATGTATGAGGGCTGACGAGGGCAGTGAGTTTGTCCGTGTTCTTGCAGTTTTGACACGACGTCTTCATTTCTAGTCTTCCAGTTTTCCTCCAATGTTTCTTGTTCTTATAATTATACTTGATCACAAAATTCCTGCCTTAAAATCAGACGCGAGTCCTTTAAAACCGTGATGAGAAGAACATTGTAAAGCCTCTGCACAGTTTATAAACTGACACCTTAAATCAAAAATACATTTTTCCTGTATTTTACAGTTCATGTCAGCTGAGAGGCTAAGAGGAATGCTAGTTAGCAGCGGTTGTATTTCAGTGACAGCAAGCTGTCAGCTTGATTCACTACGTAACTGTGACAAAAGATTACTGACACGGGGCCGCATCATGCTCACAACTCTTCTTTCTTATTTTCATGGTTTGTAAGGCTCTCATTATGTGCAGAGTAACACTGCGTGGGGGAGGACGAAGAGGCGAGCTGCTTTAAAGATGAGCAGAGGTGCACCATGGAAACAAGGAGCAGCTGAAGACTCGGCTGTCTTCTGACGACGAAACGCAAAACATCGTTAACCACTTCGCACATCAAGATTTTATCTGGAAACATTTCAGAGCTGTGTAGTGAACCTGATCTGACCCTGATCTGACCCCAAATCTATCAGATGGACAGGGACTGTTATTTCATTGATCTGAATACAGTTTGAGCCATCTGGTGACTTTCTTTCTTGAAGATTCAAGTGAAAAGAACACTCTCTTTTTATAATCATCACTGTTTTACAAATGTTTGATAATCAAATTGTGTTAGTTCACTCAATGTTTACAGGTTGAAGAGAACTACTCATTTTTATTTTACATAAACAGTAAGTAATGATTTTTATTCCTCATTCAAAGAAGAAATCAGGTTAATATGCATTTCTTGATTTTCTGTCTGAAATGAGCCAAGTTTGTAAGTATGTGAAAGGTCGAACCATGGTCAACTAAAATGTTTACTGAGAAGAAAATGTCATTAACTATTTGAGAAGATAATCAGAGTAGAGACTCCACGAAGTCTGCTGTTTCTCCAATAATCTTTTCTTTCTGTTAAGCAATCTCATTCTCTGCCCTTGGCTTATCATAACATCTTACGTCACAAACCACACCTTTTCCTGGTCCATCGACCAATCAAAAGCTCTCAAATGACCCGGAAGTCGACCCATTTAAAATGTGGCAACTTCCCGGTTCTGTTAGTGTCTGGGAGTGATAGAGTCCAAGAGTCTCAGAGTGATGGAGGTTCTGAAGAAGTTCTAGAGTCTGAGAGTTCTGAAGGCTGAAGGAGAAAACTCTGATGTCCGATGGAGAAAGTCTGATGTCTGAAGCCCAGAGTGCTTCCGTTGGAATACAGAATGCAGTGACGATGTTGGGATTATAATTTCTGTTTGAACACCACGCACGACTCTCGAAGGATTTCAGCTGCTCAACGGAGACGCTGAAAGAGTCTGAAGGATTCTATACCGAGCTGATTTCATCGTCAACCAGGTAACGATCTACTTCAACCGAGCGTACCGTCGCAAGCTGAGATCTGATGGAGCGTGCACGTTCTGGTCATAACAGATTAATTCCCTCACATATCTCTCTGTAAGATAAATCTCCATTTCATCTTAAACTCTGCTTTCTCCTAAAATCAGTACAGATATTTTAGAAATATCTGAAGCAAAGTCCTCAATCACCGCCGTGTGATTGAAGCCCATTATTTTGTGAAACTTGTCTGTTATTATTTTCATATTTTGCCAAATTAATGTAAATGTTTGATGTTAAACTTTGATTCTGAAAATAAATGACCGCATTCATTTGATGGGTCAAAGATAAATAACGTCTCTCGTTCGCATTTCTGTTAAAATTCAATGCACGACATTACACAGTCAGAAAGATGAGGAACTCGTGAAAAGTATGAATATATTTCCCTATATTGTCATACTACAGTTGGTGGCGTACGTACGTAC